TTAAGCGGTGTTTTTGGTTTGATATCTTGTACTAAGCACTAACTTAAAGAGTTGCATATTTGTGCGGAGTTGGTTTTTTGTTTTTTTTTTTTGTTATTTTTAACAATTCATAAATCCCAGTTGAGAACAGTTTCTAGCTTTGAAAATACATTGTACTTTCTGCACTAATACTCTTCACTAATACTCTTTATGTATGTGTGTTTGCACTGTAAAATGTAAAATGTTAAATGTGTATTTGTAACATATTTCTTGGCGTCAGCGTAGTTATCAATGCTGGATAGTAGCTCAGTAACATATGAGCTCATGTAAAGCCCACATGGAAGCGAGCCAAAAACAACAACAACAATAACAACAACAAGAAAAGGAGACGATGAAGTACAAGAACAAAACTGAGAATTAAAGGAATTAAAAAAAAAATAACAACTACTGTAACAACTAACTCATATATTTAGATGACGTACATTTCGTGAAAGCATGTGTGTTAAGATATGCATATGTGTGTGTATGTATGCGTGTATAACTAAAAAAGGAGACGTATGTCGCTGTGTGTTCAATTTATACATGACGTTATTTATACGGGGCATGAATAACGTGACACATTTAAAAGGCAAAACTAATGCCAGCGTCAACCACTCAAAGTGTCATTGTACCAAAAGATTGCTCTCCCCACCGCTGATGATGATGATGATGATGATGATGATGATGATGATGATGATGATGATGACGATGACGCTTCTCTCAAAAACAGTCGCCACCAAGAGTTTCAGATTTGTAATGATACACATACTTGTACATTTATGAATGGTTAATGCAATTGTTGTTGTTATTATGGTATTTCTTGTTGTTGGTATTATTATTATTATTGTTGTTGTTGTTGTTATTCTTGCTTAAGAGGTGTATGTAGCAAAGTGCTGCCGCTCAGTAATGCTAATGGCAGTGAATTTCTTGTTGCTGTTGTTGTTGTGAAATATTTTCTGCATCAATTTTGATATGCAGTTTTGAAGCACTTTCCAAATTGTTCAGAAATTCTGTGCAGGCACTTTAGCAGAGAATATTTTTGACATAACCACAGATGCATATGTTAAGGTTTAAAATTTTGATCTATAAGGTATGTGTTCCCCTACATACATACTTATGTATGCGCACATGTATGTATATGTGTACATGTATATATGTATGTGACGAATGTAATTACTACTAAGTTACATTTAAGCATCTTAAGGGTAAATTCCTGACAAATCGTCTCATATATACTTACTTTGGAACAAAGACTATTGTTCTTGTGCTTGGACCAAATTTGTGCATTTATGGATTTATATACATTTCATTTACGTTAAATAGTGATAATATTTCAACTTGAATTTACAATACCATTCTCAGAATGTAATATAATTTTTTGCAGAAAATATGTTACAAACTAATCTACAATATCAATTAAAAAATTGGTCCTTCTCGAAACACTCGCCCACATACTGCAGATATAGGAATAGGACATAGAGTATTTAAAGCCATTGTATAGTGGAGTGGTGTTATGATTGGTAAAGTTGGGTGATACCGGCAATTCTAATAATCCACTAAAGCATTTTTCATATTTTATTAATATATAAGAAACGCAGATATATAAAAACCAACTGAAATTTTTGGCAAAGCTTGAAACCCACTTCTTATGGCAGATTACTGGAGTTGGTCAAGATTCTCAAAAGAAGAAGCCCTATAAATAGTAAATCGACGCTATGCATACGCTCAGAAGTCACAAAAGAGATGTAAGTCAGTTTCGTTGTCCCCACATAACTCCGACAGGAATGATTATGAGAGTGCTTGAATCTTCTAACATGGTTTTCTGATCTGTTGTGAGCTGTCAACAAACCAGCCACAAGACTAATATATGTAAAATTACTTAAAAGACCAAATTACATACTAATATCTACATATCAGCACAGTAGGAGTTATATTATATCATCATTTAAGGCGATAAAAAATTTTACTACATACGCACTAAAGTGGAATAGTAATAGGAAGAGTAGCAAGGTGAGAAGGTAGCTTAGATTTAATTGATCAACCTTTGCTTCCTCCTAAGCGAAGGTTGGAGACAAATCAAATTATATTAACATGATGATGAAGTGATAAACAATAATCAATAGTCAAGACGCAAAGAGGGGTTTTGAAGAAACCTCGCAGTTAATAGAGAGTAAAAATGCTCAGGTGCACTGACTCAACTGATTATTGAATAATTTTTGATGTATAGTACATTTTCAAGTTCAGGAAAATAATTTCTTAAAAGTTTAAGAAATTGCTTCACTTAATATGGTTTTTCATATACCAAAGTCCAAAGAATAATATTAGCAAATTATAATCCTAACCCTATAGGACAACTCATTTTCATTCAGTTTAGAACAACCTTTACCAATTTAGTTAGGGTTGTTCTCAAAATATTTATTAGTCAAATATAATTATTAATTTTTTTCCAGACATTAATATAGTTTACTTCTGTTTCGGTGTCTAAAGTTTGAATAATATTTTAACCGAACACTCAACGGTATTGTTACAGAGTGTGATTTACTTGAAGTCTACATCGTCATATTAATATGTATAGAGTCGGGTATAATGGTAAGTGCGAAAATAAAATGCTGTAACGGAGATGATAAAAAAAATCTCATAAAATTCTATGTTAACTCCAAAGCAATTTTTCGCAAAATTCCTTTTTTCTTCCTTTAAAGTAATTCAATGCATTGCTGTAATAATGAAGATGACAACAAAGATGGCGGATGTGATAACGAGAGCAAAGACGCATCCATAGACGATTTCATCAATGAGTTGCTTCCCTTAATATTCACGGCATGGGAATTTCCGTTTTATATTTTTATGTAAAATACTCGTAGATTGAAGAAAAAAAAGGTGTGGATGAAAAGAAAAGAAAAGGACTAGCACGCGATTGAACAGAGCAATCTGGTGCGATATCGCGTCTAAGGAATGCTACGCAAAGAACGCTTCTTGCTTTGCAATGTACGCTTAGCTTATGTGCATATGAGTGTGTACCTACGAGTTTGTCCATCTGTCAGATACTTATTTTTACTCGCTTTTTTTTTCTTTTTGTGTTGCCACTTTGCCTGTGTATCTGTGCATGTATTTGGACTAATAAAAACGTCAGCTATGAAAGCTAAGCTTGAGTTGATGTCTGTGCTGCTTGGGTACGCAATGGTGCTGGTAATGATGATGACGACAATGTTCATGATGAAACATTTACAATTTGAGACACCTGCGGAGCAGGACGTAATCGTGGAAGATGTGCGCAACAATCAGAAAGCAACGTAACTGCTCTTTGGTTTGGAGTACGAAAGAAGTCAACGTATCTACTTTGAGGTTTACAATCTACTATTTGTATACATTGATATGTACTCCCTTATTTATGTGTGCACGGATAATGCGCCCTTTTTTGTGCCACAGAAGTATGTTTTTTATATTTTCCACTTCAGCACTATCGGCTTTTGCAATCAGCAAATATCAATTGATAGCTGGCGCGGCTGTGGCTGGGGCTGTGACTGGCTGTGGCTGTGGCTTGGGCTGGGGCTGGAGTACCCTGCTGCTAGTGACTCCAAACAAATATGGCGAGCTGTTCAGTGAGCTGTTCAATTTCAGTCAGACGATTAAACTTAGTATGCAGCCTTGTGTGTCGCTTTATTTCGGTATATATGGATTCACGTCTGACGTTTGAACCTCTTATTTTGTATTTTGATTAGATACTCAGTTACATACTTGTGCGTTTAACCTAAAAACACCGTGTATATTAGCTTTGTTTCAATTAAAATATATTTGGAAGTTACTTAACAGTTCGCATAGAAATTGTAAGTTTAAAACTAACATGTGAACACTATTAAGTCAGTTGTACTTAAGTGACTTACTATTAATTTAGTCGACATTTTTATATTTTTGTTTAAAAAATTGTTCTTTTAATTCATCATGATTGTTTTTTTTTTTTTGAAAGTAGAGTTTGTTTTCACAAGATCAATCTTGCATGTGTCAAACACGTTTGAGATTCTAAATTCATCTCAGCTAATAAACTCTTAAATTATAATGAAATAAACCATCAAATAGAAATAAGAAACAAGTCTTTAAATAGAAAACAGATCACAAAAAAGGATTGTTGGGTTCACTGTCTGAAAATCTAGCTTATAAGTTTGTTTTAATTACAAAACACAACAAGCGCTTTGGTTTTGGTTTTCTAAGAAATTTATAGATACTTGCAGAATCTAGAAAATATCTAGAAAAAGAAATTCTAAAATAAAAAAAAAATAAAAAAATTATTTGGGTTGAATGGATAAAAAGCGTAAAGTCATCGTTTCTAATTTGACATGTTTAAAGTTTTATGTTTGTCACGTGTAGTCAAAAATTTATATAAAAACTCACAAAATCAAGGAATATTTTTAAATACTCATGAACTAGTACAAACGGATGAATAAATAATACATCCAGAAGTAGTTGAAAATCGATATATATCAAAAAATTGCGAAAAAATATGAGTAGTGACTAGTCTCACACTGCACACTAAAGTGACACTAAATTGATTCTTAAGTGTTTCAAATAAGGTACTAATTTGTTACTTAAAATCCAAATACATATCACCATAGCACCAAATCGAGGGCAAAGTGCTTTTTGATTAGACTGTTAAAATCGTACATATGACGTCACTCAATAAGTTTATGGAATAACATACAGTTGGCATCCCAATTAACACCAACCACTTTACTTTAACTTTAGTAGGCTATATTAAATTTTACTAATTTAACTCAGTAACTTAGAAAAACAAATTTTTCTTGAAATAGAATACACATTTTGATTTTATATATCTGACATATATATTTTTTTTCTATTCGAAATCATCACTAAAATTGAGCAGTCAAAATTGTTTCCATAAAAAGTGCTGTTGCAGTATTAAGTCACTCATTTTCGATATCTAAATTTTGGTATAGTGGTATTTAAGCATGTTGAAGGGAACAACCACAGTTGGCACTAGAAAAATAATAAAAGGAAATGATGTAAAGGATGAAAAAAATGCAAAAACTCCAACCGTCGCTAGTCCGAAGAAAATTTATGCTCCACCGATTGTAAAGAATTTGGTCAAAAAAACTCCAGCACCGGCATTGTTTGGAACAGTTGTAAGTAAAAAACCAAAAGCTCGTACAAAAAATCCGTATGTACCCAATTTATCTTTGAATTATGGTGCTCATTTGCGTAACGTCATCACGAAACCAGTTAATAAATGGGTTCAACGTAGGAAAAATATAAAGTCGCTTAATAAGATACTTGGTACTCAATTGAAAAGTGTCGATGAGCTGCAATCGGGTGCTGTGTATTGTCAGTTATTCGATAAACTTTATCCTGGTTCCTTAGATATGAGCAAAGTTAAACCGGAGACTGATATGCCATACGACTATGTACGTCATTATATTCTGCTGAAGGAAGGGTTTAAGACAAAGTTTGTCAAGAAATTCATACCAATTGAGGCTTTAGTAACACAAAAAGTCGATAGACAGTATGATTTTCTTGATTGGTTCGTTAAGTTCTATGACATGATGGAAGAACGTCGGCGTGTGATTAAAGCCAAGCCTAAGAAAATTGTTAAAGAACGAAAAGTCAAGCCTAAGTTTATTATGCCAAAGGTTAAAAGAAATTCAATGGGAATTAAAAAAGGAGCACAAGTTGGTGACGAGAAGCCAAAGCGTAAGAAGAGGGTACGTTTTTCTAAAGAAGTGAGCAATGTCATAAATGGTTGGCCTTTGAGCTCTGGCGCACCTCTCAACACTTAACCTACAATAATAGTTCTTATAGTCGATGATGGATGATGTGACCATTGGTGAAAATGAAGATAAGAAGGTAAAATATATTTCACTTGTTTTTCGATTTAATGAAATATTATTATATTCAAAGCTCAATCAATGATATTTAGCACAGTATGATATATACTTATGATGATATCATGTCATATGAATTGATATGCATTGGTGTTCAATGATGGCATATGTTGTACAGTTGTTGAGTTTATTATCTATTGGAGTATTAAAATCCGAAAAGCGTCGATTGTTTTATTAATTATGATGTCCATTCCATTCTAATGTTACTGCCTGAAGTTTCCTGTTATGCTGTATTTCAATTCTATTTAATGTCCTTCGCAGTGATGCGATATTCTAACCCCCTGATTTGTCGTAACGGAAATGAAGCCAAAATCTTAAAATTTTTGTAAATTAAATTACAAAATTATTTTTATGAAAATTATTAGTATAAAAATATTGTTCGTACTAAAGTCTGCCGTTTTACATTTATTTTTATATTCTAACACGTGATGTATATGAGTTAATAAATATTTTAATTACACAACAAATACAAAATGCTTTACTTTGAAAGATATATGAAATTTAATTCTTATTAATGATTACAAAATCATATTTGTTGCTAATCCTTTACTCCGGAGGCAATAACGTAGATAGCAGTTCCACTAAATCAATTTCAGTGAAAATTTTGGATGAAAAGCTTAACTGGAGAGTCAATGTTGACGAAAGACTTAGCAAAGCATGTGTGGCCATAGACGAGTACAAAAGATGTATGGTTATGACAGTGGACTTCAGCGTTAAGAAATTCTCTGGCTAAACACAGCGATCGTTCGATTAATTATAACATATGGAGTTCTAGTTTAGTGGCTCTCGCTGATTAACAGTACAGTCTTCAAACTCTAACCAAACTGCAAAGATCATTATGCATGGGCGCAATGGGTGCATTAAGATCGTACGCCACTCAATGTTATGCTACATTCACTACCCAATAATATTCACATTAATCACTTTCGCCTACTTTCACTGCAAAAAACCTTGACCACGTAAACTTATGGCACTCGATGACGGTAGGACATGAAAATATTCCATAAATATTTTTGAATACTAAAAAGGACGAATTGGATTACTCATGTCTTTATGTCTTTTATATCTTTACTTATAGTTTGATAATAGCTTTGCAGTCAGTACTTTCTGAAGAGGGGGATTGGAATGTTTGTAGAAGCCGGACTCTATACTGCGTTCCTAGACACTAGTTAATTCCATAACTTTTACGATTTAACTTTATAATTTCAAGTAGAAATTTTCCAAATTTTGAGTACCTATTATTTCACTGCAAGCATGGACTTTCATAGAAAGGAATTCTATATTCTCACTGATGGTCAGGTAGTTGTTAAAGCTATTTTAATAATTTACATTTTGCCTAAAATGTTTCTAAATATAGACGATGTACAAACGTACTAAACTGTAGTTAAAAAATAACTAGTTTGAGTTCTTGGACATACTAATATAGCAGGCAATGACCGCATATATTAGCTAGAGTTCGCACCACTGGTTTGAAACCTCCCGTTTAAATCCCAACTTCTGCCAGCTGCAGATAAAAGTTGACTTACAACCATTTTTTATGATTCCAAACAAATTGGAATTGGACTTACCTATATATCCTCAGTAGCCAGGTCAAAAACTACATGGCCCCTACATTTCAGATGTAGAACCTCTGACTTGGTACATAGAATTTTGTCTGGCGACATGGTGCCAAACTCAGTCTGCGCTGCCAAGTTTCCTGTAGTATATGTCTACTGGCCTCGAAGAGAAGACACTAGAGCATCTTTTGTGTTTATACCTACGTCTATTTCAGTTAGCTAATTAGGAGTACTGGAAAAGTGTGTACAGTTTGATATAAACTAATTAGGATAAGGAAACATAGCACTTTGCTTGAGTCATGGTTGCATGTTATTATTTATAACAAAAAAGACATATTGAAATTATGGAATATTCTTTTACAATCATTTACTTATTCATTTAAAATTGATAATAGTTATATTATTCAAATATTACTTTTCACTAAAGAGCATATAGGTATGTATTATAATCCTGTTCTATTATTCCTTCGGATTATAGAGTGTATTGGGTGATTTGCTTAAGCGAGGAGTTAATAAAAAATCTTAAGCTACTGCAGAATGACATATTTAATTTAACAAAAAAAAAAAAAAAATAAAGTAAAATATGCATATTTAGGATATGTACTCGGAAAGTTGAAATTTTTAATCACGCTTGAGCCATTAAGGAGATACCAGTGACTCCACCTTGTACATCACGTCTGCATGCGGTGGCAACAGTTAAAAGAACTCCCCTTTAAATAAATATATTCATTCATTCACATGCGTATACGTTATGTGGGGGAACGTATGACCTTAACATGAGGCACACAATTTAATGGTTTTGTTCTCGGATCTTTGTTTGTTTGTATGCAGTTTGTAGTCTTTTATAGCATACTTTCAGGCTCACATATGTAAATGCAAATCCACGTATACATTTATACATTGCTCAGTTTTAAAATTTGTGTCATATGCACTCCAACAATATACATTACACAAACACACACACAGGCACACTCACATAAGCCTATACTTACAAAATATATACCATATATGTTGGATATACACAATTCGAAAATACAATTTCAAAACAAATTTACACAGTATATATATATATATATATATATATATATA